TGTATTTCTATATGACTTTTTTGTTTGATACAGAACATTGCAAACAAAAAACTGATACAGTCACTTCAGAATTAGGAGGATAAAATTATCCTCCAGAAAGAATTTACATTTGCTTTTGAAAAAGGGCCAGCACCACTATCGTTCCAGGTCGCTCTCTTCCAATAGGAGATTAAGATAATTTGAAACTGGGGCTTCCATTTCTCTAAGTCAGTATAAAATCAGTTTACTTTTACTCCAACTGAAAGCTTGCTTTGTTACCAGAGTTCTTACTTCTTCATAGTTGCTCAACTCCAATTTCCCCCTTAGCCATATGAGACCATCAAGAGTCACACCCAGGCTCTCCTCTAAGTAACCTCTGACAGGATGCCAGTAGATGTCCCTGGGGAATGCTGCTCCAAATGCTGGGCTGACCAATAATAAGATATCTAGATATCATTCTTCTCCAGATCTTGGTCCTATTAGTTTACACGGTCTTGTTAGCTCTACTATGTCTTTCAATAAATGTTTATCATATTTTTTATTCTAAATTTTCTAGTTGTTCTGAGTGGGACAGATTGTTTAGTTGTTCAGATTATTATCTAGTTGTCCAGATTATTCAGTCCTCCACTGAAGAAAATAAAACTTGCACAAAAAAGTTTTTAATTTATCAATAATAATCAATTTATTAATTATATTTTTCTTATCCCACTCAAGCAATTTGACAGTGCCACCCTGAAGTATTTCTATCCTTCAGTCATCCGTTCTTCAACTACAACATCAAAGACAGAATCCAGGTCTGAGAGAAAAGCTTTTAAAATTGATCATGTTTACATTTGTCAGCAACCTTACATATTTGTTTAATTTCATGTAATGTAACCATTTTATGGCATACCCTGCTTTAGGCATGAAAATACTTAAGCTCTAAGGATGGAATCAATTCCCAAGGCTACAAAACTATGGCAGAACCAAAGTTTGAACCCAGATCTCTCTGACTTCGTGCCTGGACCTAATTTCACTAGATAACAGCTAGAAGTTCCTGAAGGGATGCTGACTACTTAGGTTGGAGCACGGTGAGGAGACAGAAATAAAAACCATCATCCTCTCAAAGTCAGAAGCATAAAACCTATGAAAGCAGCTCTGTAGAACAACAAAAGAGAACTTTTTCAATGAAATAAATTTTTTTTAAAAAGCAGAAAATATTATCCAACCTCTCCTTTTAAACAGTTTCAAGGGCTACCTGATGGGTCATTTTACCAATACAACCAATTGAACATCTAAGAATCTTTCTTTTCTTAGGGAGCCAGATCCTATTACAGTACAAGATAACTCATGCTTAGACGTAAATCATAGAGAGCCTTGATCTTATGAGATTAAGATCCTTTGAATGGTCCAGGCTCTTTGCTTAAATAAGACTGTCTATTCCCAATTCTCTTTATAATTCAGTTCTTTGGCTACTTACAACATACCAGACACGGTGATGGGACTATAACACAAGCCAAAATAGCCAAAATCCCCTTTACTATAGAGTTTACAGTTTAGACAAGGGGACAGGCTTTAGTCTCAAACTACCACATAATTGGTGTATAGGTGAATATTTAAAAATTAGCTCCCCATTGGGAGGAAGAAGGCTCTGAGTTGTAGTGTTTGCCCATTTCTTTATGTAACTACTCCCAGTATTACTGATATTAGGCTCTCAAGGTGATGTCACTGAATGTGGAGTTGGGAAGAGATGTACACAGTTGGGTCTCAAAAGACAGTATAAGCCAACCTCAGTGCACTACTGAATATAATGCATGCAAAATGTGATTGATATGCACTCTAAAACAAAGGAGCTCCATTCTACAAGATATGTTACAATGAAACCAGATTTATTCTACATGGCTACAACAGGCATCTTTGACAAGGTGATGCTTCTCCTGATATCTGAAATATAAGTGGATGTTAACCAGGCAAAGAATGGACATGGAGATGAAGAGCCGGGCAATGGAGCATGGCCCATGCACTTTTGCCAAGAATGAGCTGGAAAGGGAAGGCATCAGGTGCGCAGCTGAGAGGCTCCAATCTATTTTCTACATTCTCAGTTCCTCAGTTTTCTACCATTGGCAAAAGCTAGAGGATGCTTAAACCCACTGGGGGAAATATGTTAGAAGGACTTGCAAGAAAGTTCCGCAAGTTACAGGAACACAATCCTGGGGCTAGCAGGCTCCCTCACCAACATTTGCATCAAGTAGGCTGATGGCACCAAAGAATGTGGATTTCAAGGAGCCTGGCAGCTTTGCTCAGCTATTCTCAGCCACTGATAGAGCTTTCTCCCTAAAGTTTGAAATATATTTCCATATTAAACTTTTAAAAGATGAAAGAAAATATGGTACAAATTGAGAGAGAGAGGGAGAAGAGAAGAGAAAATGATTGCACATTGAAATAAATGTGCTACTTAAGAAAATTATAAGTGCCTAAAAACAGGAGTTTATAATGAAAGTGCCTTCTCAAGCATAACTAGAGCATCACTATTCTGATGCTAAAATACAATAAACTGTCCTATTAAATCTAAGGAGTTAGATTTAATAAGATGGGTAGTATATTAAATAAATGGCAACTGATTATTAAAGATCTTTTTATTGAGGATTTACAACTATGTCATCAAATAACTGAGCAGTATTCAGGTATAATAAGACCCATACGAGAAACTTAATTTAAAGTAGTGCAAAGAACCAAAAACGCTATTACAAACAGACCATGAAAACTTGAAAAATAGATAAGTTAAGAGGCAAAAAACATCCCATCAAATTATTGTCAATAGTGGGGACAGAGGCAGTGAAGGAGGATAAAATATCATTTACATATGAGTCAACTAAATAGCTATTCAAAAGCATGATAGCATGACAGAAAGGCACACGAGGTATGTAGATGTGCTCTCCCGGAGGAGCTGAACATACTTCCCTTTTCTTCCTTTGGAAAGAAAATTAACTCTATAATATGAATTTTCAGTGGCAAAGAAACCTTTGAGTTTTTAGAAAATAGGTTTTGCAAAGCAAAGTGAGTGCCAAGAACAAGGGGCTTTGTGTCACTCCCTACCCAGACCTGGAATGCTGCTGAGAGACTGGAGGGAGGAAAGAGAGAAGGGAAGGGGGAGGAAGAGGGAGAGGAGAGAAAGAAAAAGAAAAGGAGCAGGAGAACAGGGAGAGAAGCAGTGAGAAGAGGTGTGGGGAAGAAAAGATACTTGCCTAAGGTCAGAAAATGGAGTTCTTTTTCTGGGCTTGTCTCCCACACACTGTGCAACATAGAACATATCATTCCAAATGTCCAGACTTCATCAGTTTCCTCACGTGCAAAATTTAAAAGTTCAGCTACAAGACCGCTAAATTCCCTTTGAGTTCTATAATTCTTTGTTTTATTCTCAAGCCTAGTCCTTGTATCCTCTGAGATATACCTTGGAGTATAAGAAAAACCTTCTACAGTAGTAAAACCCCCTTAGAGTGTGAGAGATAGAGACAGAGATGGAGATGGAGAGACAGAGAGAGAGAGAAGGAGAGACAGGAAGAAGAGGAGGAGGAAGAGAGCTTCCAAGGTAATACTTAGACATTCTTGTTTTATGAGGTCAAATAAATCATAAAGATGTTTTTGACTCCCTCTCATAGCTGTCATTTCACAGCTTCCTTGTTTGGTAGGCAAGAAAAGGATTATTATTTTCATTGTACAGATGAGGCAGCAGAGCTCAGAAGCCTCAAGGTGCCTTACCCACAAGGGGGCTGGTTGAAGGTAAGGGACAGATTGCTCCACAACTCCATGCTAGCTTGGTAGGTGGGTGGGGTGGGTACCTTATGCACACATGCAGGACAAGCCAGGAACACAAATGTTCCAAGACAAGGAGGCCTAGAAATGTGAGTCGGGCAAGACAGATAAGTACGCAGCTTCTCATCCTGAGTGTCACTTGCCTTTGGCCCACAACAGGCAAAGAGGACACTGTAGAGAGTAAGCAAAAAAAGGACAAAAAAAATTGCACTATTGACAAACGACTCCACTTATAGTCCAGATTTCGGACACCTTGTCCTTAGTCACAAGTGACATCTAATTTATCCCTAAAAAAACTAGGGTTTACATCTCTGTTACTTGAGGCTTTAGGTTAAGACATGTGTATGTCCCTCATAAATCTGATCTCCTTTAGGGCCTGTCAGCAGACCCCCAGTTGCCACCCAGGAGAAAACAGCACTTTCTTTTCTTCCCAAAAGGCTTCAGTGGGAATCAAGAAATTATCTTAAAAATATACAAAGCAATCCCTTAGCATCTGTAGGAAAGTAGTCATCTCAGCTAGGGACATAATGGGGAGTAGAAAAGCACCAAAAGAAAATCAAGGAAAAAGGGAAAATATATATTTCTATCTCCCCTTCTCCAGCGATTTCGCTGGCTGGGATCACAGTGGTTCTATACTGTAGAGGGACATCCGTCAACACTAATCAATACATGTGGTGTTAGTCATGGATGATAAATTTGAAAGGGATTATAACTGTAAACAGTGATCAATAGAGACTTGCTGGAGGAGACAGAGAGGAAAAAACAACCTGAAAATGTTACATGGTTAATAAAATAAGGGGGGAGGGTCAGTCTTAAACAAAACTTCAAGAGACCTATACAGTGTTCTTAGTTCCTTCTGAGAGGTGGGATGGAAGGGAGAGTGGATGAATAATCCTCCCCCAGAATTTTCCACAAGGCAATTGCTACTAAAAGCGTGCATTATTAATTTACAGCATACTTGCTGATACTTCGGGTTGGAAGGCACATTCTCCATTAGGATTTGGTTGAAGATGTGTTTCTGGATCTGAGCTGGCACACTGAAAGCCCCCAGAGTATAGCTTGCCCTTTCCCCACACCAACTCCTTCCCTCCTGCCTCTTCTCCCTTCCTCTGATTTCACCGCAGGCACATGACTGAGCAGTGCATTCACAAGCACGACATCCCTCTCTGCAAACAAATATATCCTGAATCCAAGCAAAAAGGAAAAAAAATGCAGGGAGCCTCGGCTGCTCACCCATAGATGAATGGAACTATCCGTCTTGTCACTGGGGGTCGGAGCGAGAGGTTACTCTGAGTCTATACCTTAGCTTCTCTGCTGACGTTTGCAAGCAACTTCCTTAAAAATAAAACAAAATAAAGAGTAAAAAAAAAGAATGCTGCCACATCAAGCAGTTAGCCGGTCCCTCTAGAACCCTTCAAAGATCGTGTCTTCTTACCACCTTTGGAGCCACAGCTCCAGGCCTGACATATACATTTTTTTCCTGCTGACCTTTTAGTGTCCTTTCTGCCAGAGTGTGTAAACCATAAGCTGATATATGAAGGCAATTTTTAGTGGTGCCACTTGTATCTGAGTGATTGCACACACTTTACGTTTCTGGCCTGCCACCCCTCCACCTTTCGAAGATCTCTCTATTTTCTTTTAAGGGAACTGCAGCAAAGGTGAAAGCAAGTTTAACTGCTTCAAGACTTAGATGGCCAGAAGCACCTGTCTGGGGGATCTGTAACTGACCAAGGCCCACCTGTAAAGCTAGAATGTTTCTTTGCTGCTCTAGGGATCATCAGGACAGCAGTGATGGGGGTGGAGGTGAGGAGGTTACTGGGTATTTCTCCACCAGCCCCCAACCCCCAACCACAACCAAAGCGGACATATATCAAAGCCCCAAGCACTGTTGAATACTTAGAGGACACAGAGTCATTTTCTTAATAAATTCTGAGAGCCAGGGACCCTGTGGACTTCCACGGTCAGAGCTCCAGAGCACAGAGATAGGAGTAGGGGAGTAAGGGGTGTTAAGTCAGACGAGGTACTCAGCTAGCAGAATCACAGAGTTCCCTAACTCTGCCACCCTGCCACTGTCCTGCCATCCCTTCCAAAGCCAAGCCTGCTGTTTTTCCTTAGGGCAGCTGCAGTTTCCATTCTGCTAGACACCAGCATGTACCTGTGGCCTGGAAGGGACACTGTAAGAACCCACAGAGGGAGGCATGATTTTCTCTTATTATTCCAAACTGGGATGGATGCTGAAGAAAAACTATAGCACCCACCACCACCACTGCCAGGACAGGGTATGCTCTTGTCCTTGCAGTAGCTCACAAGGCACCAGGCATCCAAGCCTGAAGGGGTGAAAGAACGGGGCAAGAAAGTGTAAGGAAACTCCTTCTGAAGGAAGAAGTATTTGGAGAGTTGGTTTGGGTTCAACAAAGCTCCATCTTGACTGGTCTACTGATATCCTCCATATAGGCCAGCAGCGATGTGTGAAATCTGCCAGGGGAGTGTGGTTCTTTGACAAGCTTCAGGACCACTCCCACCCACATGCCATAAGGCCCTTCCATTGCCAGCTTTGGAGGATCAGGGTTTCATCTCATTAAGACACCAGTGAAGCCCTTTCCTTGGAGCATGGCTCAAGAACACTCAACAAGAATGTCCCACCCCACTTCTCTGGATCCTGGGTGACTCCCAACTACTAGGCAATGCTGTCTGGAGACTGAGGGTCTACGAAGCTAGTGAAAATGACTCTTGAGAGACGTTCACTGGGATCCTCACCTGCCATCTGTGGGGACTTCACAAGCAGTTTACTATGAGTAATCTAAGATTTTTTTAAAAATTTTAACATATTTAGTCACAATCTTGTTTATTTTTCTCATTCAATGTACAGTCATGTGTTGCTAAATGAAAAGAACACATTCTGAGAAATGTATCAGTACATGACTTTGTCACTGTGTGGACATCATAGCATGGACTTACATAAACCTGGGTGGTGCAGCCTGGGTGTGTACACTGAGACTATATGGCTGTGAACCTACGCAACATGCTACTGTTCTGAGTACTGCAAGCCATTGTAACACAATAGTAAGTAGTTGCACATCTAAATATAGAAAAACTACAGTGACAATATGACATAAAAGATTTTTTAAATAGCACACCTATATAAGGCATTTACCACAGAACAGAGCTTAGAGGACTGGAAGTTTCTCTGGGTGAGTCAGTGAGTGAATACTGAGTGAATGTGAAGGCCTAGGGCATTACTATGCACTACCACACACTTTAAAAACACTGCACGCTTCGGCTATACTCAATTTATATAAAATGGTTTTCATCCATTATAAAATAACCCTAGCTTCCTGTAACTTTTTGACTTCATAAACTTTTACAATTTTTTTAAACTTTTTGACTCCTTTGTAATAATAGTTAGCTTAAAACAAAAACACATTTTACAGTTGTACAAAACTATTTTCTTTTCCATATGCTTATTCTACAAGCTTTTTTCTATGTAAAAGAATTTTTAACTTTCTAATTTTTACACCTTTTTATTGAAAACTAAGACACAAACACACACATTATCCTAGGCCTATACAAGGTCGGGTCATGCATATCACTGCTTTCCACCTCTGTATCTTGTCCCACTGGAAAGTCTTTATGAACAATAACACCCATGGAGCTGTCCCCTCCTATAATAACAATGATTTCTTTTGAAATACTTCATGAAGGACCTGCCTGAGGCTGTTTTCCAATTAACTTTATATTTTTATGAGAAGTATACTCTAAAGTAATGATAAACAAAAGGGCAGTACCTAGTACTTGATAACACATGAGTATGTGTTTTAAATGTGTGTTTTAAATACATACATAGTTATATGTATTATATAATTATGGTTTGTTGACACCAGCAACACAACAAACGGGTGAATAATGCCTGGTGCTATGACATTACTACAGCTATGATGTCACCGGTTGATAGGAATTTTTCAGCTCCATTATAATCTTCTGGGACCACCTTTATATGTGTGTTCCATCATTGACTGAAATGTCATTATGCAGCATGTGACTGTATTTAAATTTCAGTAATAAAGCAAGCAAGGAAATACGATTCATGTCTGGGAACTGCCAGATCTGAAGACTGTCCTGCCTATTTTGCTGACTGCAGGAGAAGAGGGCTACTGATTTATCACGAACACTGTGGCAACTATACATTATTATAGGGTTGTGCCACCCCAAAAGCTTTCTGGGGAGGTGCTCAAAATTTTGATATGTGCTCGAGTGTGTAAAAATCATCCATCATAGGTGTGGCAGCTGAGAAAAGGGTGAGAACTTAGGGATCAGCCACTGACCAGAGCAGCACAGGGGTTTACCAAGTGGTCAGTAGGCAAATGTCCCAGGCCAGACCTTGGGAAGGGGAAAGCAATTCCATAGACAGACTCATCCAGTCTGTTCTGTCATGAACCTGGCCTGGAACCTCCGTGCAGGCAAAATGAGTAAGTCTTATTATAAGGCCATCTGATGGGCACCACAGAGCTGGAAAGCCCAAGGCCATCCACAGAGAAAGAGTTCTGTGAGCCATAGCCTCCTCCTGCTTCCAGACTGAGCTACCATCTTGGCAGATTCCAGCTCCAAGGGTTAATGGAGACATGGCCAGTGGCAACCATGTCTGCCAGGCACCAAGGACTCCAAGACAGTGAAGGTGTTGCTGAGAGCTCCAGCTTAGGTAACTTCCACATAAAATAGTGGTGACAAGGCTTACAGAGGCGCTCCAGTGGGGACCCAGGAAACAGCAATGGTGATAGCCCCAGGTACATACTCTGGGCATAATCGTAATGACTATGTAAGGGAATAGCCCTGCCCTCGGCCTCATTAGAGGTCTTAGGTATACCTGTGATAGGCAGTTTTGGGGTCAGCAAAACAGAGTTCCAGAGGCAAGAATCTGTGCCAACTGCAAAGCTTGGACAGCTAGAAATCAGTACTGAAGAAACAGGAGCCTGATGTTTCCCTCAATCAAGACAGTGGATGGATCTGCAACCATGGGCTGAGTCAGTGAGGGGTAGACTCCAGGCAGAGAATTAATATTCGTTGAACATCTTGATTAGACAACATTGTGCCAAAAAGCACATACATATTATCTCACTAAAACTTACAACAACATTGTGGTATTTTAACTCTATTTTACAGATGAATAAACTGAGGCTGTGGGCTAAAGTAACTTCCCTAGTAAATGCAGAGCCCAGAGGTATCAATCTCCAAAGCCATTTCTGTCTTCCCTCCGCAGAGTGGTGAGAAAGGGAAGTTTTTGCCAGAGGCCAGAGAGAATGAGGAGAGATGTAAGACCAAAATAGAGAGATATTCAGGACCTTGATCAGCAGTAACAAGGAGCAGGATAAAGACTGGGGTCTTCACCCTAAAACCAATGGGAAGTTGCCACTGAGGAGGTGCAGCTGGTAGAGGAAGTGACATAACCAGAGCTGCAGTTCAAAAACATCATGCTGGTTCCTATGTGAAGAATGAATTTAAATGAGACAAGAATAAAAGAAGAAAGCCAGTTAGAAGCCTGCTCCCAGCTCCAGTGACTTTATGGGGTTTGAGACCAGTGTATTCAGTTAAAGATGGAGCCAAGTAGACTGACCCAAGTTACTCAGGAGGTGAGTTGACAGGTCTAGGTGATGGGCTGATTAAGGAGATGAGGGAGGGGGCAATAACAAGGGTAACTTGCAGTTTTCTGGCCAATATGAGAAAATCACATTCTTCTAGGAAGCAGAAGTAATAAGCTCCTCTCTCCAAAATACACGAATTCACTTAGGGCAAAAGTAACATTATTGTTGGAGGAGTAAGGGAAAGGAGTAGAAGGACGCCCTGGAGACTTGTAAGGCCTTCTCGAAGACACCCCGACGATCCATGACCAGCCTCTTATCTCTCAGCACCATCGGTTCACACTAGGATACCTGGCACAAAGTAGATGCCCGATATTTTGGGGGAAGGGGTCTTAAAAGACCAGCTTGGCCAAGCATTATATGTTTGCTCTTCAGCAAGCCTCTCTAGTCCTCAGCCTACAGGCATTGAACTAGATCCATGGTTTTCACTGCTTCTCAGAAACCCATGGCCAGTTGGGGTTCATCCCCCCACACATCCCTCTACCCCCACTGTTTTCCATCCCTAAACCAATGAATCATAATTTCTCTTTTTAGTGTGTTTGACTGTTAGGTCCTTGCAGGGAATAGCTTTCACTTAAGGAGAAAAGTGTTTCCCAGTAAAAGAAAGGTTTGAAAACCATTGGAATACATGATCTCCAAGACAGGCTTCAGCTCTCAGTTCTGTGTTCTGTATCCTAAATGAAAACAGCCATGAGCTTCTGG